TCAAATTATGGGTTTTTAAAAATCACTTATTACTTTCTAGAAGTAAAATTTGTAAATATTGGGGAGTGGTTTTGATACTGCAATCAAACCTCTGACCCAGGGGTTGTTCCACAGTTTAAAAAGGAAAATAAAGATCAAACTATATATGCTACAACTAAATGAATGCAACATTGGAATTCCTGTAAGCATTGTAGGAATTTTGCAAAGTATTAAAATGCCCTCTTTGGGAACTTCTGGGCCAAAGTGGATCTTAGCCTATAAACATGACTGAAGCTGTCTTGTGCAATTTAAGTCAACTTTCTCCCACTTGGTGCCCTCTAGATATCCCATCATCCTCAGCCACCATGGCATATTGCATGGCACAGCATAGAAAGTGGATCTGAGGCAGAGTCATGCTGCAAGGTGTTGTTACAGGTCCAAATGATTACTCAAAGCAAGGATCTTTATCTGCGAAGAGGCAGGTACAAAAATTATGCTTGCTTTCTATCCTCCCTTTCATGTACTTCTGAATACTGAACACAAGAAGTACCAAGCCTTACAAGAAGACTCTTTTGGCAAATAGATGGTTGTCACTCACTTCCTCAGGTGCCTGGCATGTACCAACTGCCAGTAGTGGTTGTGGTAGATAATACAGTAGGACCTCCTTATCCACGGGATCAATATCCACTGATTCACTTACCCATTGTCTGAAAATATTAAATATTAAAAGAAAAATCCAGAAAAAAGTAACGTATATTACCAGAACTGACCACTAGAGAGAGTTAGAGACCATGGGCAGTTCTGGTACTGCATGTGAAAAGATTTTTCCCCTTTTACCATGCTATATTGTGTGTGTGTGTGTGTTTCACTATTATCCACAGTTTTCTGTATCCAATGGAGGCCTGGAACCAATCCCCAGCAGATATGGTGGTCCTACTGTATAAAGAAAAACCCAGGTAGGATCTGCCTCACTTGCAGCAGGGCATTTATGTGGATTCTGCCATGGAAGTTCCTTATGGAGATAAATTGTGAAGAGGGACAAATCCCACCAAGACTAAACTCTGCTAAGTTCTACTGTATTATTCCTGGAACCGGAGAGACCCCCCCAGATCCTGAAATAATATGAAGTGGTATATTCCTAATATGAATATTTTAAAGAGTCTTGAGTTTGCCTATGCCCATTTCTCTGTTCTTTCCCTTTAATATATGTGGATGTTAATGGGATTATTAACATTATTAATAGAGAAACTCACACTGAAAAAATGTGTGTGTGTGTGTGTTCTGTAAACGAGCTGAAGAGGAACATGAGCTGAACATAACATGAACTCTGGAAATAACATCTTTTAGGAGGTCTCTCATAATGTTAGGGCAAATTTGAATTAAAACATTTTAAGGTGAACTTAAAAACGTGAGTTGCAAATTGACACTGAACACAGCTTACAGAATTAGAATCTGATTAACTGATTCTTCTGAATTTTTAAAGTTATTCTGAATTCCAAGGGCTTAAGTAGCATATATTACTGTTACTTTTAACATTTAAGTTTGATTTGCCTGGCTTTTGTTGCCATGCTTTCTGTTAGTATCTACTAGATTTCCCTAGCTTAATTTAGGAGTCTTCTCAATGTTTCACATGAATCATGCTTCCTGCTCTGTTCCATCCCAAAGAATGCCTCATTTAATTTCTCTCCACCTCCTAATAGCCCTCCATACACCTACAAGTTACCTTAACAGATACAGCTAAAACCAGGCCTAATCGGTGCATCCGTCTGTATTTAATTTGCTCCTTTTGGTAACGTAAAACCTGTGTTACCCAGAATGTAGATCAGATTTCTGTGTATTAACAGCATTCATGCATGGTATACACAGAGTACAAGTCCTGCATTCACATACAAGGTAGGTCTAAAGTTACTTGTGTGCTCAGCATAAAAACAGGACATTTGTTGTTTTTCATTCTTGTGTGGGTGTTTCACTTGCAATTGTGCTACTCTTGTAGCTCTATCACCATCTCAGAGGTATAATTACAGCTCAGTACTTTCAGTGTAGTAATTTCCCATATGAAAATAATTAGCATGTTACCATAAACCAAAAACTGCCAATTGCTGTTCAAAGCAAAACACTTTTAACAGTCAAGATTCAGTGGATGTTTTCTCCCCCCACTCCACCATGGATGCTCTGATGGGGAAATTGAAATCTCTCCCATTCACGCTATTGTTGAAAGCATATGAGCACTGCCAAAGAAACTGATGGCAACTTTCCCTCTATACTCCAATCATCTTTCAATCAGAGAAAAATGTACAGTACTAAAAAGACACCTGCCCCCTCTGCTTCCTTTTAGTTTGATCCAAGATTCTAACACAGAACCTGTCCGGGATGCATGTAGTGCCGAAGGCAGAGTGAAAAGTGGTGCCAAACACTCCACATAACACAAGGTGCCCAGTACCCAGAAGCAGTCCATTTGCTTTGGCACTAGAAGCAAAAAATCTCTCAAGTGTCTCTTCCCATCTCTAGCAGTAAAAACACAAATTCATAATTATTTTTTAAAAGCTGGGTGCCGTTTCGTAGCACACCAAATCTGCCACTTGAGGCAGCTGCTTCACAGTGCCCACTGGTTGGACTGGTTCCTTTCAAAATCCTTTTGTTAAGTTGCTCATGCACATTAACCTGGCAGTGCAAAGTAACGGAACTACAAGTTAAATTTAAACTATTTTTTTTTCAGAAGGAAGATCACCAGCCTTCTATACTAACCAGTTTTCAATCTGCTAAGCGATAAAATGGAGTTTTAAAAAATCCTCCAAGTTTACTGATTTTTCTCATTGGGACACCTGCTTATGGTGTCCAGAGATACTTTTGATAACAACTTGTTGTGGGTTTGTTTGTTTGTTTGTCTTTGCACCAACATAGATGGAGTAAGTAAAATATACTTTGCTTCAATACAAGAGAAAAGCTGGTTTGCCATTCAAGTGGATATAGTGGTTGTGCTGAAAAATTTAACACACTTGTTCAGTCTTTTCTCCTATCACTTTCTCCACTTGTTTTTTCACATTGCTTAAAAAAGTTTTGTATTTCTTTTGGAGAAGCAGAATGTGCATATAAGCGCTTCCTGCTGCTCATATCCCAAGTCTATTAGCAGCTCCTCATTTACGCTGTCAGAATCCAACTGCCTCTTTCACTGGTTACAAGCATATTATATCATGGATTGAACTATCCTGGGGTCTATGCTGGTGTTAAGTGCTAATTTCATAAACCACAGTGGTGAATTGTCATTGATGACCGAGTTGCTTCTCACGTTCCTTGTTGTACACCACATCATGCAACTGGCACTGAAACAGGAATGTGAGCAGCAAATTGATGAGTGGCAATTCGCTGTGATTTACACAATACTGGTGTAAAATCCCAAGAGGACTCTGACCCATAGAATGCAGTCTGCACATATAAGAAGAGATATAGAAGAAATAAGGGTTTCTCCAAAGACAGGCTTGAATGAGGCTTCAGTCTGGACTGTGCATAATAAGTAATCGCAACCGACTAAAAAGCCGATTTTAACATAATTTATCATCAAAACAGTTTCTTTGCTCAGAAAGCAGATGTATTACATCTGTTAAGAGATATTACATATAAATATAGAAAGAGCTGCAAACATGACAACAGTTTATAATTTCTATGAAATTTGCAGCTAAATGCAGCTCTTAATCCCAAGTATACTGGACCCACTCAATGGAACTCAGAAGCAGTGGAAGCTGCATCCGATCAATGGATCTACTTTAGATGGAACCAACAACTGGATTTAATCTATTGTGATATGTTTATTCTACAACCTACACCTTTCATAATAAGGCAGAAATACCAAAAAATCTTGAGTGAAAAAAGCTATATTTGAATGAGATTTCACACAGATTTGTTTTCTAGAGAATACTATACTGTATCTCCTGTGTATGTTCTAGATGTAGAAGAGGATAGCCATGTTAGCCTGTGCAAACATTATAGGTAAAAACAAATTAAACAAAGAAAAATAAAGTAAAATAAAATAAGAAATAGACAAAAACTTGGTGGCATGTGTTCTGTATGTATTGTGATTTGAACCCATTCAGTTTGTTACTAATAGCAATTTAATCTTCTTTCCAAAAAGGTTCACATGACACATATGTAGCAGAAACACTTCTGAAGTGTACTACAAGATCAGAAACATAACCTCACCTAAATGGACACTATCCTGCAGGGATCAAGGGCATAGCCCTGTCAATGCAGTGCTGAGTGCATGTGTCATTAAGCTTTCCTTTGTACTATTCATCGATATTTGCGTAGGAAAACACACAGTGGCACATGGTCACATCCCAGGGACACAATCCTCCTACTTGCAACATATTCTTTGCCTTGCTACTTATATTTGGGATAGGAAGGGGAGGAGAGGGCTGGAGACAAGCTCCGAGTCTCCCCGATAAATTGCGGAACCATGTTTCAACAACAATGTAGACATTACAAGAAAGAAAGAAAAAGGAGTGGATCCTATCTTGTGGCAGCAATTGCCTTTTTTACTACCCAGAACAACATTCTCATCATGATATTATTCTTCACCTGCCCTCTGCTCCAACCATGCGCCTGTCACAATGGCAACAGCAGCGAGCAGCAGCAAAAGGGCACCCAACTGCAGTAGCCGGCTGACAAGTGTGATAAAATGATCTTCCTTAACTAAACTCGTAAAGCACTGGGCAATAAAACTCAATCTTCTGTAAAATCCAATTAAGTCATTATCTGACTGATTGTATCTTTAATTGAAAACAGAAGTGACAGTAAATTTCTGTGATATATCAGGAAATCGATACCACTATACGATTCAGCCCCGAGAAGTGATTTATAACGTCAAACCCATATAGGTAACTCCACATTATTCTCTCTAAAACCACTGGTGGATGAAATTAAGAGTAAGTGCATTTAATAAAAAACAAGATGGTCAGGTTATTGATTAACAGATGGGGGTGAAATCAAATAGATGTTTTCAAAGCACAGAGTGAAGAAAATACAAGTAATTTCTTTTTTTCCTGTTTAATACAGCTCGCCAACTATACACACAAGAAAATTTGGTCATCAATAACATTTTTATTTCAGGTACCACTGCAACTACAGAGAACAATGAATTCTTTAACAGCTAGTTTCATTTCAGGTTGGTTTCTGTAACCCTAGGGAAAAGACACGCTAAGCAATTTTTAACAAATATGCTGGAAAAGGCACCCTTTACTTGAAGTTGAGATTGTACCAAATACAGTAATTTGTATGCACAAAGTTTATGTTAATTTTATACTGGCAGTCAAAAACAGACATAGCTGATCAAAATCTAGTATCTGACATAAAAAAACAAAACAACTCCAAAGGGAAACCATCACAACTAATTTTAAAATATAATTCTTGCTGAAATATTTCCATATGTTTGCAGGCTATGAGAATGCAAAAGGCAGCAGAGTTTATGTAAAACCAAGGTACATCTCATTAGTTTCTTTGGTCTATAGTAGAAGTTCAAAGGACAAAACCCATGAACAATGGTCCTTTGCTGCAATATGTTATAATTCTTCAATCCAATTTCTAAAATGTTAATCATGCCAAAAACGTCTTAAAATTGTTACAGTTTTAAATGCCGTTAAAAGTAGTAAACCTGTTTGTGCTGTTTTATTAGCAAATCTAAGCCTCTTAGTCATCCATGCAAATTTAATTACATTTTATTTGCAATGTATGAATTTATTTAACTCTATTTCTGTGCTACCCAAAAGCCAACATTTTAGGCCCATTCACAAAATGGAGATGTTTATATTAAGATTGTGCCCAATTGTTCTCATAGGGTAGCCTTTAGAGGAGAAGCACTTCAAATAGTTTCAGCCGTCTCTCCTGCTCTTGTCCTTTAACTAAGTACGGGCAAGTCACGTTATGCTGAACAAACCTTAAGGGATAACCAACATTCTCTAAACAGTTACTTCAGCATCAGTTATGGCAAAGCAGACAAACACAACTTAACAAGAAGGCACTTCTTTAAGGCAGCCATCAGGACTTCCCTTAACGTTCTTTATTCACCATCTTCCATGACAGAATGAACAGGGAAGGTGCCAGAATCAGAGGTCGACTCGCACTCCAGGACAGTTTTGGCGCTTTCAGTACTGATAGGAGAACTGCTGGAAAGGGAAATCAGGCCAGAATCCTGGCTACTGGGTGGTGAAAACACTGAGAAGGCAATGGAGAAAAAGAGGGGGGAGGGAGGGTGAAAGAGAACATCATTAAATAATCTGGATTAGCAACAATCTGTCTTCTGCAAGATCACACTCTAATCCAACATACATATCAACACAAAGGCACGGTACAATTTGGCCACAAACACAGAGTTAAATAATTAGAAAAGGACAACAGTAGTATAATCCATAGGTTCTTAACCTGTGGCCCACAGACCCCTGGGGGGGCACAATGTTCTCATATGGGGTGAAGCAAAGCCTTGAAGAAATGTTATATCTTTTGCAGTTAAAATAGGAAGGGAGGGAGGTAGGGAGGGAAGGAAGGAAATGTGGAACAAAATCTTAATTTCCCTTGCTTGTTTGTGTAAAACTTGGCTTTTCTATTTTCCCATTAAAAATCAACAAAAGTAAAAATCGGTTATGAAAATAACTGTTTGATAGCAAACAATTGATATTTCTACGCATGGTGAAAACATGCAGGTGAATGACACCAAGTGGCTGAGAGACACTATGTGACATTTCTTGCTACTGCACAGTTAGAAGCCATGGGAAGAGAGAGTCAGAGTCAGTCTGTGTCAGTATGAGTGAATATTTTCTTGTTCCTGATGCAAGCAAAAATGGGATTAGAAATCCCTTTCAATTAATGCGAACTAGAGTGGCTCACAGCAGCAGAGGAAGACAAACTCATATATTCATGGATGCTGCTCTGAAATTGCAGTTCAAGGAACAGTTCCTTCCAAATTTCTGGGCTCACCTACAAGCAGATTTTTCAGAACTACTGAAGAGGGCTATGATAATGATTAGCAGCAGCATCCGAAAATACAATACACAGTCTTTGATTGGCATTATATAACAGATACAGGTTTTAACCAAAAACCTAAGTACCTGTATTAGTTAAATATCTCAGACTTAATACGTATCTGTTCTAATACTGGCCATCTTTTGTAGCTCTGATGGTGTTATTTCAGAGACGTGCAGCTTATTATATACAGTGGTGCCTTGCATTACGATGTTAATTCGTTCCAGCGAAATCGCTGTAGAACAAACACATCGTAAAGCGAAATTAAAAAGCCCATAGAAACGCATTAAAACCTGTTTAATGCGTTCCGATGGGCTTAAAACTCACCGTCCAGTGAAGATCCTCCATAGGGCGGCCATTTTTGCTGCCTGTCTTGTGAGGAATCCATCCCTAAACACAGCGGGGAGCCATTTTGTTTACCTGGCGGCCATTCTGAAACCGCCGATCAGCTGTTGGAAAATCGTCGTTTTGTGAAGAATTAGTTCCCAAAGCAGGGAACTGATCATTGCAAAGCGAAATTCCCCCATAGGAAACATTGTTTTGCGATCGCAAAAAGTTCATCGTTATGTGATTTCGTCGTTTTACGAAGCGATCATCAAGCAAGGCACCACTGTATTTTATTACTGTCTGTGGATTGTTCCCAATGCCATAATGACTGTGGGGACCACTGAAATGTATTTCAATCACAAGCAAGCTATTTCTATTACCAAGTCTCTGTATTTTGTTAATATTTCCAATTCTTTATCTTCAACTCTGGCATCTCCTGGAATTGCAATGTCAATTATTCAAACATATCTCTGTTCTATGATGATGATACTTTTAGAAATCTGCAGTATTGCACAAATACTAACTTTTCTCTTTGATGAAGGACACCCCTGTGGACATATCTGTTCTGATATCTGTCCTAACTCTACACACAAAAAGTTGCTGTTGGGAAAGGGAAGTTGCCCAGCATACAACTCTAGTTTGATATCTAGCTTCTAGATCTAGAAGTTACAGCTACTACACTCATGCACTCTTTCCCTTCTCTTCTTTTCCAAAACAAACAGAAGGCACAGTAGAGCAGCATTTCTCAATCCCTGTGTGTCAAGATATTGGGACATCAATACAGTGGTGTCCCGCTTGACAATTATCCCGCTCCACTACGAATCCGCTTGACGATGAGTTTTTGCGATTGCTATTGCGATCGCAAAACGATGTTTAAATGAGGAAAATCCACTTGACGACGATCAGTTCCCTGCTTCAGGAACCGATTTTCCGCTTAATGACGATCAAAAACAGGTGATCGTTGGGTTTTCAAAATGGCTCCCTGCTGTGTTCAGGACGGATTCTTCGCTTTACAGGCATCGGAAAAGGGCTGCCCTATGGAGGATTTTTGCTGCATAATGAGGTATTTCGCCCATTGGAATGCATTGACCAGTTTTCAATGCATTTCAATGGGTTTTTTTTACTTTCGCTTGACAATGATTTCGCTTAACAGTGATTTGAATGGAACAGATTATCGTCATTAAGCGAGGCACCACTGTACCCATAATCCCTTACCACTGGCTCTGGTAATTGCCACCTCAGAGAACAACATCTACAGAACCAAAGCTTGACAGTAATACTGAACTGAATATGCCTAATCCAACTCAATGACCTCCATGATGGGAATGGAATGCAACTACAACCTGAAGGCTGCTGAAGGGGGAAGTAGGCTGTAAATAGGTGGAACTTCTCAATCCCCACTGTACCTACAGTATGCCTGAATACTGCTCATTCCTAACTCTCCAGATCAGAGAACCTGCAGACCATCTGTTCTACTGAAGTCTGAGTCCCTACAGATTATTATCTCAAGTATACACAACCATCACTGAGTCTCATATGCCTCTCAAATGGAACAAGTATTTCTGAGTAATACCAATGACAGGTACAAAGGCATCAGCAGACAAGAGGCAACTCATTGCAAATGTGTAAAGAAGGTGATACCCCCATAGCTGAACAGACCACTCTCATCTGATTCTGGAAACTAAGGAAGGTCAACCTGCTTAATATTCAAAGAATATTAAATATTTAATGAATATTTAATATTCATCAAAACTAAGGTTTCCAAGAAGGTGAGAAGATAATAAGGAAAGCTGCTGCTGCCAGTCAGACTCAACAATACTGAACTAGATAGTCTTCATTTGCTTGATTCAAACATTTTCTTGGCCCCTCCCTCAGTTTCTGAGATCTTTGGAGGATGGTCTTCCTTTGGTTCCACCACCATTGCCACAGGTACGTCTGGTGAGGACCTGAGAGAGGGCGCTTTCGGTGGCTGCTCCCAGTCAGTGGAATTCCCTGCCTCATGAAGCTAGGTTTGTCCCCTCCTTACAGTCCTTCAACCAGCAGGTGAAAACCTTCCTTTTAAAGTTGATTTTTTTAAGCCAACTTCTAAACCTTGCACAGCTGGATTTTTAAGAAGGGGTTGCAGCACATTTTTATCAGTATTTTAAAATTTTGTATTACATTCTTTTGGATAATCCTATTTTAATTATAATAACTGAATCTACTGTGATTTTATAACTATATTTTTATTGTTGCATGCCACCTTGTGTTTCTTTATTGGAAGAAAGGCAGGATATAAACAAAGTAAAGCAGAGTAAAGTAAAAGACCACTGTCTTATGGCCTTCAGTGATGATAACAATCTTCCACAGTATCTATCAGAACCCTTAATTTAGTCACTAAAAATGTTAGGCTTGTGGACAGGAAAAGAAGCACATTCAGAACATGCAAGAGAGCATAGGCATCCTTCAGTCTCGAGAGACTATGGTAACATGCTCTGAATCGAGGAGTGTCCTCTCCAGAGCATGAAGCCCGGGTAAGGTAATATGGAGGATAGGCTGTTACCCAAGCAGCAGATCCCCCTTCTCCACATTGCTGAAATGGTCCAATGGAAAGGCAAGAGCCGATACAACTGGTTCCAGCAATGTCGCAGGAGTTGGCAGAACGACACATGCTGCCTTCGGGACTCCAGCTCCAGATTTTGCCTCGAGGTTAACTCCTGAAGCCTCTTCCATGAGTGGATATAGCCACAAGGCAGTGGAGGTTTGAAATTTGAGTTT